GCACCCAGAATTAACAAACTCCACTGTTTGAGCTGAGCGAATCTAGACATTGCTGGGCCTTGGCTTGCGGGGGCGATACCCAGGTCGCCTACAGATATGGCAACCCAAACGAGACCAGCGGCACGTTGGACATCCCAAAGTGCGCTCCTCATCATCAGCTACAATTGAAGCCTGGTGTGCTTTGCCACCTTTCTTGCCTGCAACCTTTGCCGTCTCCTTCATGGCCCCACCATGCTTCTTAGAAACCTTCTTAGTCGGCACTTCTTCCTCGGCCGCTGCTGTCGTTCTCGCCTTTGCTTTCGCCTTTGCTTTCGCCTTCGCTTTCGCCTTCGCTTCCGCCTCCGCTTTCGCCTCCGCTTTTGCCGCTGCTTTTGTTCTGCCCTTGCCCCGTGCCTTTGCCTCTTTGATGGCTGCCTTCGCGTTGGTTCTCAGCTCCAGGGGGCTTACCTCTGCCTGCTCCTGCCGAGAACACGAGTATTCAGGTTCGCAACGTTTAAAAACGCAAGGAACACACAAGCTACACATGGCAGTTATTGCATGATCAAATGTGGCACCTCACTGAAAGTCTGATGCTTGGGCTTCTTGCTGCCACGGGAAGCTGAGGACTCTGGCGTGGTCATATCCACATCCATAGGCTGGGTCTCCACCTTCAGGGATCCATGCAGAGCTTCAAACTAGAATCAGCGCAACCTCTAGCTCATCTGCGTGGAGGCATTAGCAACATGACTTCCCTTGCACCTCGTCAGGATTGATCGAACGCTTCTTGCACGAGGAGGCATCACCTGGGCGATATTGGGTCAGCGCCAAAATTGGGTTGCGAGAAGCTAGCTTTGTGATGTTGTTGTTGGGCCCTGTTTTACACTTGCTAAGGTTTATATAGGGTTACAGTGAAAGGGTAGAATGTAATTTGAAAACTGCTAAAGGCGACACCCATATAAGCAGTGGAATGATAAAAAAAGGGTTCTTTATGTGCAAAAGCCCATACCAGTTGCGCATGTTGAAGGGGGAGCTTGCCAGCAATCAGAACTATAAATGATTTCGTGTTTGTGTTCTACATGAACACGAGTTGGAGCAGGTCTCAAAAGGGATCCCCGTAACCCTAAACCCTATATAAACCCTATACCCTGTATAAGTGCATCAAAAGCTAAAATTGGGATGGACATAATTTGTGAGACCACATCGCGACACAATCCTCGCTGAGTGGAACCTCGCAAGATTTATAACGTATATACTTTGGGGGTAGCATGTTCAATTTAGAGGGAACTCCAGTCAATGATTATATGGGAAAAAGTCAAACGAGTCGGCACATATTCCTTGGCAAAGTTGCTGGCTGTTGTAGAGGTAGACGCAGGCGAGGACCTGAAGCAGAGGCTTTATAAGGGGCTACAATGGATTCAGGTTGTTGTTGTGAGTTCCTGAGTTTGCAACTTCAGCTTCAAATTGTTGATCTTTCGGAGGAGATCATCAAGCTGTTGTTTCTCCTTGCTCTGGGTCACTTCTGTAATCACTACCTCGTCAAAGTCCGTAGAGCCTTTCTTAGTGAATCGCCGGCATGGGGTAAAGTAGTCAGGGTCTTCGATGGCAATCGTTTTCTTCTTGGGCGCCGCAATCTTGCTGACTGGGGCTGTATCAGCTTCTCCTTCTGAAGTCTTTGAGTTCGAAGCCAATGCTTTCCCACTCTTTCCCTGGCTAGCACTAGCCGAGTTAGATGGAACCACGCAAGGATCATCCTCAAAATCTCCCTCTTCTTCCCCACCTTCCTCGGAATATGCTAACTGGTATGCTTCCTCTGCAACCTCTTTAAGCTTCTGTTGCTGTGCACATATACCCTTGAGCTTGCGAGCAGGTGGATCCGAAGTGTCGCGGATGAGGCGGATGAGCTCGAAAAGCTTCTGCACACGTGGGTCCTTGGACGCAGCATGCTGATGGTGGTTGGGAAAATTACGTAAATAATCCGACATGACAAGATTATATTGGGCCAAGGTTCGTTTGGGGTCTGTCCTCGCTTGTGCGAATCAGCTTCCCTACGAAGACTGTAGGAGTACAACTTCCGTAGTCCCCACGCATCCTTGTACATTTGCGAACTCGTTTCCTCCCACTCTAGCTTCTCGTAGAAGATCTGGACCTCGATCAGATGTTGTAACATGTACATTGTACAAGTTTTTATAACAGGACTGCAAACATGTTTCTTCAGCACCGTGTGAAACACTGAATCTTTTTCAGGTCAAATGGCATGCTTGATTAAGGGTTCCAAAGGCACCAAATCCAAAGTCTGGAGGTTCTCCACCATACAATAGACCAGTGCAACATTGGCTTGCAGAGCTGCCATATTTGGCTCGCCCTCTTCCTCCTCACTGTTCCATCGAAGCCACTTTAGCACCTTTTTCTGCCGTTTGGCTGAGGCAGGTAGCTTGACCCACCCCTTGCAAGCTCTCCCAAAAGAAAGCACCGGCATAGCTATGCAGGCCCAGCTGTCTAGATCAACACCCTGAAATCCTTGAACCGAAAAACATTGGTAGTAGTGAAGCCTGACCAGACTATGATTCTGCGAGGTTCTTAATCAAAATGCTGTTGCACAACACATGCTCCGCTTTTGAATCTCTGATGCGGGCTACGCAATCTGCACATGTGGACTCCACACCTGACTAATCTATAGCCCCTACCCTAACCCACAACTTTCAATTTTGGGGGAGTATTCAGAAGCACATATACATAGGCTATACCTTCCCTTATACCGGTATTCTGTACCAATAGAATATACTGATACGGGTTCTGATTAAAACAACTTATAGAAGCTTATGCCCTGAGAACCCCAGGTAGAATGTGCCTTCCTCGAAGATGATGCCAAAGGCCATCCCATAGCCACGATCGAGCCTGCATGCAGGGATGGTAGGGCTGGCTTTCAAGCTGGTGGCTTCGAAACATGGAGAATGAGTGAGAGTGATAGAGAAACAGAAAGGGGCGATGGATAGATAAATATATATAGATATATAGAGAGAGAGAGAGAGAGAGAGACAGAGAGAGAGAGAGAAAGACAGAAATAAAACAAGAAAGAGAGAACGAAAGAGAACCAACAAAAGACACAGGTAGGAGCTGTAGTTGTGCAGAAATACAGAGAAAGGTTTTCAGACTAGGGTAAGAGGGGTTCTAAAGGGCACTCTTTACATCATAGGTTTTTGATGGGCCATGCAGCTATACGTATGGATTCTTTTCAATAATTAGGTAGGTCATTCGAGTTGCTAAAGTAAACCCTTATAAACCTTTAAACCCGTAGCAGGCCTCGAATCCACAAGAAGATGCGCGAAGTGCCAGGGACTCCTCGCACAACTTACAGGTCAGCATTGCTTAGTAGAATAGGGATTGTCAATAAAATGTGCCTGGGTCCCGGTCATGCAGAATCATGAAGCTACAAATTCTGTCACTGTGACATCGATCTACTATACTTTCTGCAGGTGAACATGCTATGCTGCATACTGGCAAACTCACACCCCATTCCCAAATCATACAACATCTTAATTTAAGCTCCCTTCATGGTAGCAATTACCGCGCTCCTCCAATTTCTCTTGGCAGGCGCACCATCGCCGCAGTGAGCGCTTGGAATCAAAGCGCTGGCAGTATTCATGGGTTGATCAATGTGGCTCTTTCGGGCTTCATAACGGTGATACTATCTCATAAATCAGGAAATGGCTTTACAAGACACATCCTATCATGCAGTTGCAGCTTTTGATCCCAGTGGCCTAAATCCATGGAAACTTGCACCTGACCTGCAGTCAAAGGAAAAGTGTGCAACTGAAGCGATCCAGGTAGGACTGAAGGGTTTATGTTGACTTCTATTCAAGACGTGATTCGGAATTCGATGCCGGGAATTCTTATTATCAACTGCTAGGCTAAAGGGAAATGGCTGCATGACGCTTCTCCATCCCCTGGCAATGCCGCACCGTATCCTCTGCAGAACCCTTCGCGTGCATTTCCAGAACAACAGTGGAACATTTTTTGAAACCCCAAACCCTAAAACCCTCACACCCCACACCCCCTAACCCCCCTACAACCCAGAAACCTTAGATTTTTGGGCCTAGGGTTTTATTTGGGTCGCAACCCCAGCAACCTGACCTCGAAGCCCTATAGACCCTGCCCTCTATACCTACACCTCAAAACCTTGAACGTCCTATGAGCCATAGTCTAAGCTCCTTAAAGGGAGCTATGTAGGGTTTAGCGTTCAGGGGTCTAAACTCCTTAAAAGGGGGGGGGTATGTAGGGGATCATTCCAGGGGTTATGAAGGGTGATACTAGGAGTTTAGACAAAAGCTCATATTAGCTACTGTCACTATGAGGCTTACCAGCTGACCATTAAGGGTGGACATAGGGGTCCATACATAGTTTAGTAAAGATCCTGGAGCTTCCCTGATATAAGGAACCCGTGTCCATTAGTCATCATTGTTTATATGGGAAATATCGCCAGGGCTCATATAGTGCCTGAGTAGTCCCAGCTCACTCTAAACCCCAAATCCGGGTGTGTCCTAGGTACCCTAAGGATAGATAGCCCTTTACAGTAGGGATATTCTTGGATTCCCTATGGACTAGGGGTTATACAAGAAGGATTATGTGGGGTTATATTCGGGGATTATATTGGGCACAGAACAAAAGGATTCTTCGAGCAACTTTGCAGTTTCTGAAAAACGGAGTAGGGGTTTAGGGTATAGGCAAACTATGAGGAGATGACAGGGGTTCCTATTAATTAGTGAGTATACCCGGTAGCTGCTATGTGGTCACCGTTGGGGTGGTGTAGGGTAGGCTTGTATCTCGAAAACACAGCAAATCCGAACAGGAACTGAAAAGGAACCTTCGGGGCAGGGAAGACTAGACTAGACCCTCAAACCAGAACCCTCGAATCCAAAACCCTAAAACCCTAACCCCCTAACCCTCAATCCTCGGCCCTAAATCCTAAGCCATAAACACCCCAAGTCCTACAACCCCTAAACTCCCACCAACTGATGAGTCAGGGCCAGATCGAGTCGCAGCGTCAATCTTTCCAGGACGGGCCCCGATCTGTGAACTTTGGATGGAGGGTGTGCTTGGTTGCTGTCAAGAAACTTAATTCAAGTTACTATATTGGGGAAACCATAGTAATTTGCTAACTATACCCATTATGGTAACTTAGCTTAAGTTCCTTAACAGCAACCCAGTTTAGGGCTGAGGACGTCGGGCTCTGGGCGGCGAGCTTATATCTACACAGGGGTATGTGTTTCAGAATTTGGGTTTGGCTGAATGGCGGAGCGGGATTCTGCTCGAAAGGGGACGCTGCGCTTTATATAGGTCCGCGGTGTATCATGCGAGGCATCTGAAGTGGCGCGCCTGCTGCTGGGAGCGCCACGGAAGGTAAGCCTCTACACCACTGTGAACTTCCTTTTCACGTCTGAAATGAATCTAAGAGTTGAGAACCTTGGTAGCAAATTTCTGTATGCTAAAATGGGAAAGTACAGAAACAACCGGTACTGCTTCTTGTACTATTCTTGCTAGTGTTACTTGTGTTATTTCATTGTTGTTGGCATTTTCGTAATTGTTGTTGGTATTATTCTTAATATTATTGTTATTATCTTTATTTTATAAACAGACTTAGACCCAGTTACGAGCATCCAGTTTGCTGTCGACCCGGTACAGTGGACCGTAGCATTTCTTTCGCAAGCGGAGTGGAGGATGTGGGCACCTCAAAATTAAGCTACCTTGTTTTTACGGTCCCTATAAAAATATAGTGTTTGGGGGTCTACACCCCAAACCCTAACTAAATCCTAAGCCCTAAACCCTAAGCCACTCTTTTTAGGGACACTGCCATCAAGGGTTGAGGACTACGTCAAATGAGAGGAAGGCTTCCGATTGGCCCTCAGCACGAAAAGGTGAGAGGTAAATGCCTGAAGCCCTAAAGTCGCCCAATGTCAGTAATGGTTTAAGGGTTTTAGGGTTTAGGGTTTAGGGATCCGAAAAGCCCAATCTAGGTCATATGTATAGACTTTGGGCCCAATGTAGGAACCCCACGTAAACCCTATTTTTTTTAAGACAGGGCCGTCACAGAAGACACTGGGCACGAATCAGGCCTTGAGCCCGAGGCAGGCAAGAACCACGCGGGGTTAGTTATGGGTTCAACTAGAACCCCCCTCTATACTACCCCCGCCTAGGTTCCCCCTTAATTAACCTTAATTAAGCCTAATTATCCCTAAACAATCTTAATTAAGAGGGGAACCTAGATGTGGGGGTAGTATAGAGGGGGGTACTGGTTGAACCCATAAGTTAGGATTAAGGGTTTAGGGTTTTGGGGACTCCACAGGAGGCCGGGATTGTTGCAAGCTGTCATAGTCATACCCAGGGGCTTTATGTCTACAAATATTACCTGGGCCCTAAAGTCTATTACCATAACTCATTGGGCTATTGGGAGCCTTATGGAAAGGCTTCAAGTTTAGGATTTAGGATTTGACCCTGGGGTTGCAAGTACCTAAGTGGTTGATAATAAATATGGGGCCGAGATACGCATACAGGAACCCATGTGTGCGCAGATGGTACAGTATTTCGGTACTTGAACCCGTACCGCAAGGTGAGCAAGATTGAATCTTAGTGCCTTTACTAAGGAGCATGGCTTTAATACCTATAATATGGAAACCCGGTTATGCACTATATAAATGACCAGAATAATATGGGAATAGAATATACCCGTATTATGGTAACTTGCCCTAAGGGTCCAAGTACCTAATAATCATATACTTACCTAAAACCTGTACTATACGTACCTAATTATGGGGTGCATGGACCCTAAACCCTAAACCCTATATATCCCTTCTAAAGGGACCTAATTATTGGGTAATTTGGCCCTCTGGGATAGGCCCATATTATGGTAACTTAGTTTAAGTTCCTTAGCAGCAATCCAGTTTTGCCTGCACTCCCCAGCCTCTTCTCTTGTTCCCCACTGAAGAGACCTTGCAGGACCAATTTCGGAATGCTCAGCAGGAGCGCTGTGGGGTGCTGTGCCAACTAGTAATACCTGAACCCCCAAAGTGTGTAGAATGATAGCTTTTTTGGCTGGTTTAGGAGTTTAGGGCTATTATTTTACCTAGTTTTGGGGTCCAGGTAACAATAACTTCTCAAAAGTTGTTAATAGTAATAACTGTGTACGAATAGTAATAATGGAAATAACAGTTCTACTAGTCAAAATAGTTTGCGTCATGAGCACATGTTGGGACGTAGGGGTTTTGAGTGGCATCTCTTGGCCTTAGGATTCGACATTCACGGCTGAGTCCTCATGGATGGGTTTAGGGTTTACGGTTTAGGGTGGTTGACGGCAGAGGAGGTCAGAACCATAAATTACACGCATCCATTCAGCCTGTGCTACTTACTGTGTGTCAGTATCCTTGTATTTTCTTGTAGATGTTTTGGTTAGGGGTGTCAGTGTCCTTGTAGTTTGTAGATGTTTTGTTGGGGGCCTGTCTTATGCTCTCCTGAAGCTCCATGCTTGTCTTAGGACTTAGGAAACCTTCCTATTCTTGGAAAAGCTGGGACTTGGAGACTTGGATTCGGGCGTCTCAATTGCTGACTGTTTTATGGGTTGCACCTACAAATCAGGTGGTAACTCCTGATGAGCTGCAGGTAATCGGGGGTTTGTGGAATTTTCGCCCTTCGTAATCCTACGAGTGTTTTGTAATTGGCTTCCCCAGACCCATATTAGAGGAGTTTTTTTAAAACAGGAGTTACGAATTATCAGTAGGGGTTATGAAGAGGGGTTATATTCACAGAGGCTATATAAGGGGTATAGGGGGGATATAGGGTTTAGTCTTTAGGGTTGGTGGTTTCTCAAAAGGGGGGGGGGGGTGCGCAAGAGATGTAGGGAAACATGCGGAGCATACGAAGTTCGGTTCCATTTAAGGAGCCTTTAGCGGTCAGTTTTGACAACCCTAAACCCTAAACCCTATACATATGTGTATATATATATATAAAAGTAGCCGTAAATGCCAACTCCCATGTCCTCATTGTTCAGGCTTCTGCATGCTTACCTGACAGAAGAAGCATCTGAAAGGCCCATCTTCGTATAGGGTTTCGTGGTTTTAGGGTTCAGGACGTATATTTGAACATGAAGCTACCCAACACGCCCAACAAATCAATGTATGATGCCTACGCTACACGCCAGAAAGCCTAGACCCAAACGAAAACAACGAAAACTTAAGCCCTAAGTCATGCAAATCCCGCGCCAGAACTCCGAAACCTGCAAACCCCGTAAACCCTATCAGCTTCGGCATAGCAAGAGTTCTTCTAACACAGTTTTTTCAAGAGGTTAACGGTTGTATCCCCTGCGGTTGTACCTTTGGGTTTGGGGACTCTGTCGCGGAGCTCTGGGGGAGTACGCTGGTTCATATATCCCAGAGGGTCCATGTACCCAATAATTAGGTACGTGGGATTGGGGCAATAGTAATTATGGTACAGGTTTGGGTTAAGTATATGATTCTTAGGTACTTGGACCCTTTGGGTATGAAGGCGGGGGCCTGGGGGTACAGACCAGGAACCTTTGCATGCCCGCAATCCATCACGGAACCGGTACAACCCTCGACCTCAATCCCTCTTCCCGTATACACATTGAATGATCCTTCTATACATACGCCTTTACACGTACCTGCTAGCACCTCTGCAGAATCCCTATATGTCCTTGTAAAAAGCTCTATACGGGATTTATATTGCTTTTCGGCCGGTCGCATTGTTTGAAGCCAGGATCCTGCCCATGGCTGCATCCTAGGCTGGGAGGGCATTTTGGATTTAGGGACTGGGGTCTTATAGGATTTAGGGATTACGGTTTGGGGTTGGGGGACATGGGATGTAGAAGATGCATGGCTAGCCGCACTTTAGGTTCCCTAAGGGTCCAAGTTCCTCATAATCATATACTTACCCAAAACTTGCACTATAAATACTATTCCAAATCCCAAGTACTTAATTGTGGGTACATGGACCCTCTGGGGTTTTGAGCTAGGGTTTAGCGACTTCGGGCTTCTTGATGGGAGCCTCAGAGCTGAAGTAGCATTTAACACGAGTGGTATGGCCAAATTGCAGGGGTTTATTCTTGGGTTCCAGACCCTTCCTATACTACCCGCCTATGTTCCCCCTGAAGTAGCCTTAATTAGGTAATTCGGCATAAGTATCCTCAAATAAGCCCTATCAAGGCGGAACCTGGCAACGAGGTGGTTTCGGGGGCGGGGAGTACTACCTAAACCCCCAGAGCAGGTAAAACAATGGCCCAAGTCCCTTAAATATAGCCCAAAAGGCCATTATTCTACATACTTTGGGAATTCAGGTAATCACCTAAACCCTAAACCCCAAACCCAAACCCCCAGGCTAAACCCATTGGTGAAGGGGCTTGAGGTCCTGAGCAAAGCGCTCACATAGCCCTAGAGATCCAAATAGCCCAATGTAGGTAATATTTACAGACTTTAGGGCCCAATGTCGGTATTATTTGTATACTTGGATCCTTGGGGTAATCAAAGAATGAGATACGTGCGGGATTTAGGTAGCAGAGAGCATAGTCTGCATCTTGGTACAAGTTAAACGGTTTTTGGAGGCGTGGACCCTCAGGGCTAAGCCCACAGTAACCACCGGAACAGTAACTTGAAAGATTCAAAGCTCCCCAAAGTTAACCTCCCGCCTGCTTCTCCTCATGCTCCGTTCGAAGAAGACTCGTCATCGCCCGCAAGTTGGGGCATCTTTGGGGCGCCGGTGACCCCTTCCTCAACAGCACTGTTTGGCGAATCCGAGCACCCCTGTGCGCCTCGTCCGCAACCTGTGCCACGCATTGACCTGCCTCCGCACCAGCCTGCCGCATCTTCAAGCTCAGACCCTGCACCCGCGTATCTGCAGCAAGCAGCCCGTGTCGCTCCAGCGCCCGCTGGCCAAGCACTGCGCAGCTCTGATGCCGCTCCGGATCCCGTCCCTTCTGCCGCCCCTGCGGGCCAGGAGGGCTCGGGGCGTGCGCCTGGAGCGTACGTGTGCATGCTGAACCTGAACCATGGACAAGGTCTATGCTTTAGAGTGGCCAACCGTATCTGTTTGGATCTCAGGTCAACATGAGCGTCACAGGGTCGTCTCTTTGTTCTAGAATGTGAGCAACGTTTTTAAGATACGTAGCAGTTATGATGGCAATGAAACTGAAACAGTGCTCGAGTGTAACCTATCCCTAAGGGTCCAAGGACCCAAACAATGGGTTTTAGGGCCCAAATACCATGAATATTATAGTATTTTGGGCTGGGCCCTAAAGCCCTATTATTTGAGTCCTTGGACCCTTAGATAGTCCCCTAATATCCCTATATATATATATATACATATATATACACCCCTATAACCCCTTTAAAGGGACCTTATCATTTGAGTCCTTGGACCCTTAGGGTATAGCTTGTAGGGCATAGTTTGCGCCGTCTCCCGCAGCGACATGTAGGTTGCATTGTCTGCAGCTTACATGTTTTGATAACTTGCGGGCGCTTGGTAGGGAATAAGGGAAGTATGGTCCCCATACATCCCGTATAACTCTAAAATGAGCCATAGCTTTAAACTCCTTAAAGGGGGTTATATAAGGGGTTTTAGGGGGGATACTAGGAGTTTAGACTATGGCTCATATATTTCTGTATTCCAGACTATCCCCCATAAGATAAGCACACCAATATGAAATCCTGCATAGGACTTTGTACCGGCTAAGCATGCCACGCAGTCCGCCTAGGTGACTGGATGCTAAGATGCGGTTTAGGGTTTAGGTTTTAGCTTGGCATCGCATAGCCTGGTTCCACAGGGAAACAGCCATTCCGGGTAGTTTTGCATAGGCCTTCTATGTTGTGGTATAAGACATTGTAGACTGAACGCAATGCTCATGCGCGCCTGCTAATCCCCAACAACAATAATGGAACAAATAATAGTAATAGCAATAAAAGTAATAGTAAAATACTGGTAATAGTAATAATAATAGAATAGTAATAATAACAGTAGTAATATGAATGATTGTAACAAAATTGTTTGTTTTATCAGGGTTTCAGGAGAGCTAGGCTCTTCTGCCCGCTGTTATCGTTTGCTATCAAGAGAGAGGCTTGAAAGAGAAAACCCAAGGCACGAGCCTCATGTTTCGCAGGAAATTTGCTTCCTGACCAGCATTGAACTGACTTGCATCGTCATTATAGAAGGTCTTCGTGGTTAGCACGTTTGATTGTTGCCGCTGTCCTCTGACCTGCAATCCTCAATATGTGTGCCTTCGGTCTGCTGCATGATCACTTGCCTCAACACGAACGTCATAATTCTTCCTTGGAACTCATGTAAGGCTGTGGCGTTTGCAAACATTACCCTTACTTGTCCTAATTATCTTTCTTTTGGTTGTTGTCATGGTCCTTGTCACCAGTATGAGGTTTATGTCAAGGTTTGTTAATATAATTGTTGCTGTGATGATTGCGACTACTTCTATTCTCATTATTTTGTCTCCTGCGCAAGATGGGAACCCTGAACCTGAATCAGTTTGTCCTGAGCCCGCACCCCAAGCCTAGATCCTAACCCAAACGGCCAACCCTTAGTCCCCGGCCCTAAATCCGAACACCTTGTCTCCTAAACCCAAGGCCCTATACAAGCCCGTACACCCTAAACCCTCGTACTATCTACATATCCCCAACACCCTAACCCCCAAAACCATATATAGCGTATACATCCTCAATCTGAACTCCTAATTTCGGAGGACCCCTAAACCCATAAACACCCTAAATCCCGCATATCATGTTTGTTTGCATGTTCAGATCAATTTCCCGGTACCATTAACCCCCCCAAATCCCTCAAACTTCATCCCTAAGCCCAAATCCCTCGACCCTGAGCCTTAAACACTAAGCCGTACACCCTCAGCCCCAAACCATTTCCCTAAGAGTCCAAGGACCCACATAACAGGGCTTTAGGGCCCGAATACTACAATGTTAATGTTAATGGTATTTGGGCCCTAAAGCCCTACTGTTTGGGTCCTTGGACCCTTAAAGTTAACCCTAAGCCCCCAAATCCCTCAACCCCCAGCCTCAAACCCTAAGCCCTACACCCTAAGCCCTAAAACCTTAACCCTAGCCCCTAAACCCTAAGCCCCAAGGTCCCCAATATAGAGTAAGATTATATCCTCCTTTTGGGGTATAGTATTTTATATAAGGAATATAATCTTACTAGGTTCAACCACCAAAAAAACACTACTCAAATTATTGAACCCTGCAGGCGGCTGCGGACAGCAGCCCGAGGTGGCAGGGTCACGGGAGGCCTCCTCGGGCAACTTGAACATGCGGACGCCCACCAGCAGGTGGGGGGGGATCAGGGTTTAGGGTAGTAGGGTTTAGTGTTTTAGGGCTTAGTGTATCAGGGTTGAGGGTATAGGGTTTAGGGTATTAGGGTTGAGGGAAGTAGGGCGTAGGGTCGAGGGTACTAGGGTTTAGGGTATGTATGAGGGTTTAGGGTTTCAGGGGGAGGGGGACTGGAGTGGATGTAAAGCCACTTAAAGGGATGTACGGGGACATGTTAGGATATGGTGCGGAGTGGATGGACTCTTCAAAGAATGGATCCTTACCACTCAGGGGCTAGGGCTTCGCGGTAGCGACGAGCGAGCCACGATTTTTTGTTTAGGTTTTAGGGGCCAGAGTTCAGGTATAGGGGATATATAGGGATATGTAGGGCTCAGTCTAGGGTTGAGGGTTTAGCATCCATCTACCAAGAATTGAATACCTGAGCTTGTGGAAATAGAAATAATAGTGCGGGCCTGAGGGAAGTCTATCCTTAGTGGGTACCTGGACCCCTATAGGCCCCCTTAAGTAGATAGAATCTGGCTTTGGGTATACCTTTTAATAAGATCCCCATATACCCCATATTCTATCTACTTAAGGAGGACTATAAACACTGAAGCGGCGGAAGACGAGAACACCCGCGCCTGGGGAGCCCGCGTGGCCGCCCGAGGATGTTGCGGAGACCAGGGCCGCTCCAAAGCGGAAAGTGTCTAATTGTCTAATATGTAATCTGGGTTGCTGTTAAGGAACTTAAATTAAGTTACTATATTGGGGCAACCCCATTATTTACTATATATATACACACCCATTATGGTAACTTAATTTAAGTTACTTAACAGCAACCCAGCACTACAATATATCATAACCTAGGGCTCCACTTGCCTAAATAATGGGTTCTGGGTTCTATACACCCTATAGTTACATAGACCAGTAACCTACGATTTAGGTAACTGGCAGCCCTCGGGTAATACAATATGTCATAATCTAATCTAAGATAATATAGTAGATATGTATGTAGTTTATAATACGTATATATATACATATATATGTATATATATATATATATGGCTTCTGGGGCCGGGTAGATTCCAGACCCGCCCGCTTGGGACAGCCTGCGCTCCCCATATTCCCTCTATGATTTCTACATATGCTGAGAATCCCCAGAGTACGAGCCACTGAACCGGGTCTGATTAGGGTTAAGGGTTTGCCTAGACCTCCCAAATACCCAAAATGCTAGCCTTCAACCCCAAAATCATGGATATATAGACAATTATTATGGGGATTGTGAGGGTCTAGGTAGCAGAGTCCCTTAAAACCCGAAAACCCTAAACCATCCCTGTAGACTCCTTCCATTACCCTAAGCCCTAAACCCTAAACCCCATTTTAGCTATAGTCTAAACTCCTTAAAGGGGGTTATATAGGGGATTATATAGGGGACTACTATAGGGGCCATTAAGGGGGATACTAGGAGTTTAGACTATAGCTCATTTCAAGGGATCCAGGATCCCTAACCTCTCCCAGGGCGAACGCGAGCCACCAGTCGTTGAGCCACATGGAGAAGGCGGCGTTTCGACGGTTCATGTTTGGGGTTTGGCGTATAGGGTCTGAAAGTTTATGTTTTCTGGGCTTGGGGGTTTTAGGATTTGGAGTCTTAGGATTCGGGGCTGTGGGATTCAGTGCTGGGGATCAAGGGGTTACGCTGGGATGATGTGACAAGATGCCTCTACATGGGCTTTTATCAGAGGTGGATACAAGATCGCGTGCCCAACAAGTGTTGACTAACAGTTGTATCGGAATTGCACGGACAGCTAGCTTTGGTTGTTACATGTACAAGTAAGGATTTGATATCAGGGTGATTGCCTCAAGGACGCCAAAACCCTGAAATCAGGAGCTGGCAAGCGCGCAGCCCCCCCGCTTCCTGGCAGAGCCTGGCCAGGCCAAGTCTCTGCAGACTCTGGGAGAATTAGGGTTTGTGGTGTCCAGGGCCCCATTCTTTAGTTGTGGTGAATTAGTTGGTGAACTAACTGAGCCGCTTAAAAGGGATATGTATGGGTATATAGGGATGTACAGGGCTGTGTCGGCCCGGGGTTCATGTACCCCATAATGAGGTACTTAGGATGGGGCATTGTGTGCTAGAACCTCTCGGGTTTATATAGCCAGGGACCTTATGCGTGTGGACAGTGTATCTAGGGCTCCCTAGGTATGTAGGAATATGCAAGGAGTTTCTACAGGCCCTTCTATGGGTTCCTCCTACCACTCCTTGTGAATTTGAGAGTTTGGGGTTCGGGGTCCTCGTAACTTTCATATTCTGAGATATACAGAGCTAAGTCTAGTAAGAATTTGTAGGGCTCGGGATTTTTTTGTGAATTGTTTTCTCGATAGGATGGCCCCTAGTTGGGCTTATCAGGGGAGTACGGTATACTTGTGGGTTCTAGTATACAGAGCACCCTTGTGTTGATGAATGGCCATGTTAGTGGTAGAATGAACTAATATTTAATTTGGGCTGTGCTGGCAGCTTAAGGACTTACAGAGATATCAGGGGGGTTTTAGAGATTGATGGGAGTTTCCATAAACTGCGAGCCCCTAATGTAGGCCCACCACACTATCGTCCTTATGCCTTGTAACCCCACAAAAGCCTCGGACGTATGGAAACTCACCTAAGAAGTCCTACTCGTGACTGGGTTGTCTTCCGGGCTCAAATGAGACCTGTCAGAACTGATTTGTAGCTCAGGCGTGTTTTGCAAGCATCGGAGTAGTCGTCAGTCTTTGAAGGATAGGAGCTCGTGAATTAGCAGTTCTGTTTTAGCAGTTCTGGCAATGAGTAATTTGACATGCAAGGGCTTGGTAAGTGCCTTTGATGTCTGATATCGTCTCCGAACAGCCATGAACAAACTTACATGTGAATGGCCAATGTTGACAACTGGTGTCGTGGGTCAGTCTGATGCTTTGGTTTAACGGTTGTCCTGATGGTACTTCGGATAAGTAAACCCAACGTCAAGGGATATAAGCAGTCACGCGAGTCCTACCTTGATACCCGCGCATATAGTTTAGAAACAAATGCAGCAAATGCCTTGATCTTTTTCGCCAGGGCTCTTCGTTTTCGCAGCTGCCTCTGGTGGAGATTCAGGAGGAGCGAAAATGCGCAGCCTGCTTTTGACACTGCGGCAGATTGGTTCATCATGGGGATGAGGGAGGGCCTAATAGCGGGTGGGGGCTCTAAACTTGTATCTGCGATCCCCAAGAGGGGGAGTTTCGGCCTTCTTGTGCCCGTTAAAGCAGGGGCCCTCTCTTTGCCTCCATAACTACAGATCACGGCTGGCCCCACGCCCGCTGAGGACCTCCCAAGTAGGAGGAGACACTGGTGGTTTAGGCTTTAGGGTTTAAAGTTTAGTTTAGGGTTTAGGGTTTAGGGATTTATGGTTGACCCTTGATGATTTTGGGTTCAGGGTTTAGGGGCCCAAACCAACGGCTTAGAGGCATGAATTTGGAGATGTCCTCATGGGAGGCGTGGCGGGGACACCGCTGAACACAAGTTTCAAAGCTGTCAGCCTTACGTCAAGGTTTTATGGGTTTCATAGTAGGCAGTAGTAGTAATAGCAGTAGTGACCACAATAGGGTTTATAGAGCTTCAGGTGTAGGACTTGGGACTCAGGGTCTAAGTCGAGGAGATACAACGAGATTTCCTTGTTCTGCCTAGGCTTGAGATATTTTGTGCTGGTTGCGCGAATGCCAATACAGACGGACGCCCAGCACATGCTTGCGCAAACTGATGTGAGTCATGCGAAGCGTCCTGGGTTAAAGGACCATATATGGAAGATCCCAAATCAACAAGTCAAAGGATTTTTTAGCACCATAGGGTGCAAGTGCTTATGTAATTGGTCTAGCGGTTCCTATGCAGATACCCAAATTATGTACCATTCAGGTACCCGAACTTGTAGGGACATCATCACCGAAATGATTCCATCGTACTTGTAATTACTCCTTACATAGTTACAGTACAATGTTTCCCAAGAGCGTCTTCAAGTTGTTTAGGCCCCTACCGTAGATCTACAACTGGTGGCTCATGCGTTGCGCCTGACTTCTCTGCAGAGCAAGACAGCAATGTGGATGCTGGAAAGCGTACCGTGCAAAAAGTGCATGCTACGTAGTCGTGGGTTCAAGTGCCATTGCTGCATCCTTTCATGCTCCCCCCAATGGCAAGCGTCCTCTTTACAGGCACAAACTGAATTTACCCGGAGTAGTAGGGAGAACTGGTTGCCCGCTGCCCTTTTCGTTCAACTGCCATGATTTGCCAAACACATTGCCAAAGGCCGAAGCACCTTACTTTGAGTTTCTTGGTCAGTTAAAAACCAAAAATTCACGTACAATACGGTACGCATCCCAGTGCATTTGGGCCCCTTACCTCAGTACTGCTACTGCCACTGACAATTACGCATGAACCTGAAGATCTAGCACTGGTCACTACACACCCTCACCAAAACTGCAGGGGTACGTCTGTTTTAGGGTTTGATGCGTTATGCTAGCCGCAGCTATGCTTAGTTTAGCTCATGGTCGAGCACACTTCCACCAGCCTCTATGTTAATAGCATACCCTACCCGTCCACGTACCCAATAATCACATACTTTCCGAAATCAGTACCACTGCTGCTATTGATACTACTACTACTACTACTA